ACAAAGGCCAGCTAATGGCTTTTGGGGTGTGTGTGGGGGCGTGTGTGCATATTTATGCCTGATACCCACAAAGGCCAGCTAAAAAGCATTTGGGATATAGCTGGCTTTCTGTAGAAAGTAACATAGACTCAGGTGAGTGTTTACTAGTTAGTAAGGTGAAAGTTGATGTAAGTAGGCAATGAGGTGAAAGTTAACAGAGACCATACCGTGTAGTGAGAGGTCATTGTAGTTCCTTACCATTTATTGTGAGTGAAATGGGAAGCTGTTGAAAGTTGTGATTGGCAGGGGGATGTCATCACTAGGTTTAAGTTTTTAATAGGATCACTTGGATTTTGTGTATCTTTCTTCCTCTGGGTCCTCTATGCCTGGAAATAGTCTCCCTTATCCTTTCATGCATTTAAAAAAATCTAGTTTTTATATATGAGAGAAAACATGATATTTGCCTTTCTGAGTCTGGCTTCTTTGGCTTAATATGATACCCTCCCATTCCATCCATTTTCTTGCAAATGATATTATTTCATTTCAATTTATGGCTTAATAAAACTCCAATAAACCATCTTTTTTGTCTATGTCCCCCTGCTGGTGGACATCTAGGCTGGTTCCACATTTTGGCTATTTTGAATAGTGCAACAGTGAACATGGTTGTGCAGATATCTCTGTGTTATGCTGATTTGCCTTCCTTTGGGCATATACCTTGTGCTATGGTCTAGCTGGATCATAATGGTAGTTTTGGCTTTAGGTTTTTGAGGAACCATACTGAAATCCATAGTGGTATCACTAATTTACACTCCTACCCCATGTTTAAGTTCCCACATCCCTGACAGCTTTTGTTGTTTGTCTTCTTGCTGATAACCATGCTGAGGGGGGTGAGGCACAGTCTCAGTGTATTGTTAATTTGCATTTCTGTGGTAGCTAAGGATATGAAACACTGTAAACATGGAGGTTTTTTTTGCCATTTATGCTTTTGAGAACTGTCTGGTAAATTTGAGTATTTGTTCTTTGAGTTTTTAGTATTTGAGTTTGTTCTATGGTCTGGGTATTAATCTCCTGTCAGATGCACAGCTGGCAAAGATTTTCTCATGTTCTCTTGTTTTCTCTTCACGCAGTAACTGTTCCATTTATTGTTCAGAGACTTTCCCCCTTGCTTTTTGTTGTTGTTGTTGTTTTGTTTTGTTTTGTTTTTTTTGAGACAGGGTTTCTCTATATAGCCTCAACTATCCTGGAACTTTCTTTGTAGACCAGGCTAGCCTTGAATTCAGAGATCTGCCTGTCTCTGCCTCCCATGTGCTCGGATTAAAGGCATGCACCCCCCTCCCCAGTTTGTTTTCTGAGACTTTGAATGTGACTCAGTCAATGGAGTTACTTTGTGAGACATACAGCCTTAGCCAATTTCATTGTTATGTGAACACCATAGATGTACTTATAAAAACTTGTGTGGTATAGGCTACTGAACACTTAGACTCTAGGCTGTGAATTCAGCCTGTTGTTTGTAGAGGCAGAGTAAACAAAAGAACTCAAGAAGAATCAAGCACAAAAGAAAGTGATGTAATCGTGAGATGCTGTAAACACTGGATGTGTGAGGCTGCTGCCAGTGGAATTCAGTGTTATGCTTTCCAATGAACATTATCTGTATGAGTAACATACTGTGAAATAATAGAAAATATAATATGAGAACTACATAAGGCAGTTAGCAATCAATCATGTTATCATCAAGTATTATGTTCTGTACATCATTGTATGTGTTCTTTTATATGACTGCCAGTAGAGTAGGGTTTGGTTGCACCAGCAGTCTGGGAACAGAGGAGGAGCTGTTAAATGGGGCTGAAAAGGGGCAGCTAGTGAGGTTGAGGGAAGCAGGATAGTGGTGTTCTGGGAGCCAAAACATGCGAAGACACATTCACCAGCTGTGTCCCATGTTGCTGAGGATGGAATGTTGGACTTCAGGACCAGGTAGTTGGTGATCTTAATGCAAACAGTTTAGGTGGAGTGATGGGAACCTTATTCAAGTGATTAAAAAGGAGATTGGGATATATACCGTTCTGTACTGTTCTTGTGAGTTTGGCTACAAAAAGAAGCAGAGTGTTAGCTAATAGGGACTAGGAATTCAAGAAAGGTTTTCTTTTGAGACAGAATCTCATGTGGCCCAGGCTGGCATCCAGCTTACTACACAGTTGAGGATAACCTTGAATTCTTGGTTCTCCTGCCTCCATCTCACAAGTTCTGGGATTGCAGGCATGATACTTGACTCCTTGAGTTTTCTTTCTTTTAAACATTTTTTAAGTTTGTTTATTTTTGTGTGTGAGTGGTTTTTGTCTGCAAACATATATGTGTACCATGTGTTTGCCTGATGCCCACAGAGGTCAGGGAATAGTATTGGGTCATCTACAACTGGGGTTATAGATAATTGTAAGGCCAGCTCAGTGCTGGGAACCAAACCAAGGTCCTGTAGGAGAGCAGCAAGTGCTCCTAACCACGGAGCCATGTCTTTAACCCCTGCTTGCTTTTTTAGAAAGTGAGAAAGTGAAAGAATGCTTGTCTATTAATGGGAATGATCTAGCTCTGAGGCAGAAGATGATGCTTCAGGGGAGAACAAAGAGAATTGTTTGAACAATGGGCTTAAATAACAATACATTTTCTAACTCCTTTATTTCACCTGAGTAGCTATTTTAATTAGAAGATCTGTTGAATCTTAAGACTTAAGTGTTCTCACATAAAACAGGAAGTTTTTCATTTTACAATGGTTATACAACGATGGAGATGTAGTTTGTATTTCCTTAAACATTATTTACAGATGATGTTTCATTTTTTCAAGACCTCTGACATTTGAATCTTGAGTCCCTTTTTAACCAGGAAGTAAATGACAACTGAACTGGTCTTTTTAAAAAATATTACCAATCCCAAGATTTGAAAAAATATGTTCAGTGGAGTTAAACATATCTTCTGTATAGGAGGTGATAGAAAAAGTGATAAAGTGTAGCCTTCATTGATCTGATCTTTCCAGGTAGCACTGTTTTTTCATATATCTTCTTCCCTAGATAATTTGGTGTTTTGTTTGAAAATGTAGTAGACCTAGCTTTCATGTAATGTGAGAATAAAAGACACAAGAAAATCAGACAGTGTGTCCTATGGCTTCCGTTTGAAAAGTTTAGTTTTATTGATTTGGGGGGGTGGTTTTATGGATCAAGCCCAGGGTGTTGTGCATGGTTCTAAGTCCTCTACCAATGAGCTACATCCCCGTTCTTGACTTTAAGGATATTTGAAATCATAGCAACTAAGTAGAATTGTATTCAATTGTAGCTAATAGAGTTGACATCTGATTGTATGTTATAGAAATGATAGGCTTGCACCAGGAAGTTATCAGTAGGAATAAATCATAGCAGCTTTGTAAGGCATTGGGAAGTGGTGCCAGGAATAGTTTACAGAAATGGCAGTTTCTTGTATTTAGTATCTCATGTAGAATAAATTGAGGTCTTACATCTGAATATGCTTTCTTTTTATTCATTCACACTTCCTTTCAAAAATATTGGGCATGTATTATATGACAGATTGAGGAGATAACACTAAACCTTCATGGCACTTAGAGTTTAGAGTATAAAAAATGGTGATGTCCTCCATAAGGTCACGGGGCAGGGTTGGCTGCATGGCTCTGGCAAGCCTGGAATTCAGGACCCTCCTGCCTCAGCCTCATGGCTGCTAGGAATATGGATATGTGTTACCACGGCTGGCCAAGGAGTGTGCTTTTGTGTCACTTTTCGTCTCAGGGCTCATTAAATAAATTACCACAGGCCTGAGGTATAAACAACAGAAGTTTAGTTCCTTCCTGTCTGGAGTTCCAAGTCTAAGATCAGGGTCTGGCAGGTTTTTCTCTTCAGGCCTATAATTTTCTTTATACTGTGACCCCACTTGGTCTTTTCTGTGTATATTTGTGTTTTTTTGTGTGTGCTCATATTTCTTCTTCTTCCTACACTCCTCCTCCTCCTCCTCCTCCTCCTCCTCCTCCTTCCTCTTCCTCTTCTTCTCCTTCTTTTCCTTTTTCTTCTTCCTCCTCTTCCTCCTCCTCCCTCCTTCCTTTTAGACAGGGTCTCATGTAGCCCAGGCTAGCTTCAAAATTGTTATGTAGACAAGGATGACCTGGAACTTCTGATCTTCCTGCTTCTATCTCCCAAGTGCTTGTATGACAGTTATGTGTCACCATGCCCAATTTTTATGCAGTGTTAAGGATGGGAAACCCAGTACTTCCTGCACACCAGGCAAGCACTCTACCAGCTGAGCTATATATTCCTACCCGTACCTTTTCTCTTCTTACAAAGACTCTGGTGAGATTGGATTAAGTGTCTTTAATGGCTGTCTTAGTTTGGGTTTCTATTGCTGGCAAGAGACACCATCACCACAGCAACTCTTATAAAGGAAAACATTAAATTGGGGTGGCTTACAACTTCGGAGGTTTAGTTCATTATTGTCATGGCAGGACATGGCGATGTTCAGGTGGAGATGCTGGTGGAGAAAGATGAGAGTAGAAGGAGAGACTGTTCAATGGGTGTGGCTTGAGCATATATGAGACTTCAAAGTCAGCTTCTGCTACTCCAACAAGGCCATGCCACCTAATATTGCCACTCCTTATGGGCCAAGCATTCAAACACATGAGTCGGTGGGACCATACCTATTCAAACCACCACAATGGCCTCTCTTTAATTTAATCACCTCTTAATTTTGTGGACTTTTGAGAGTCTCACTAGGTAGCCTAGAATGACATTAAACTTGAGATTCTCTGACCTCAGCCTCTTGAATCCTTGAAGTATGTTGACTACCATTTCTGGCTTCCTTCCTCACCTGATTAAAGGTCTGTTTTCAAATGCAGTCATGCTCTGAGGATATGGGGCTAAAGGCTTCAACACATACATTTAGGGGAGCATAATACAGCCTCAAACAATGACCTGGGATGGACAGTGAGCTGTTGAACTTGTTCTTTCTGCCCATATATAATATCAGTTTCTTCTTAGTACTATGAAGTATTCCTTCGACAGTCTTCAGTGGAGCCCTGTCTTCTGTTTCATGAAGGTGGACACTGGCGTGAGCTCACAGTTCGAACCAATAGCCAAGGACACACGATGGCTATCATCACGTTTCATCCCCAGGGGTTAAGTCAGGTAAGCCTACAGGATAAGAAGCCACTTCTGTAGTAACTCTACTATGTTCCTGGTTTGGTTTTTTGGGGGAGTTTCAGAGCAGTTAGCAGAAACCACACATCTAGTATTTTTATGTAGGTTACAGAGCAGGTTTGAGGATGAAGAGGAGTTGGTAAGAATGTAATTTACCTATACTGCTGGCATAATCAAAACACAGATTGTGGCTAGGTTACCCAAGATGATTATTGTACATGGCCTCCCAAGTATTTTCATGTAGTAGTAGGCTCTACTGAATCCAAAAGCTATTTCCATAGAAATTTGCATGTCCAACTTTTATAAACTAAATTCTTCACACACTCTGCTAGTGTAGTGGTGAACATAGCAGTCATCCAAATTATGCTTTACATTTGAAATGCACTTAGCACTTTCAGACAGTGTTCTAGTTGGCTATCTGTTGCTGCAATAAAAACCATGACTAAGAGTGACTTGATGAAGAAAGGATTTATTTCACCTTACAGCTCACAGTCTCTCTTGAAGGGGAGGCAGAGGAATAATTCAAGGCAGGAACCTAGAGGTGGTAACTGAAGCAGAGGTCATGGAGGAATACTGCTTTCTGGCTTGCTCCCTATGGCTTTATTTTTAGATTTAAAATCATTTCATGTGTATGAGCGTATGCATGTATGTATGTGTACCATGTGTATGCCTGGTGCCTAGGAAGGGTAGAAGAGGGCTTTGGATTCCTTGACACTGGAGTTATAGACAGTTGTGAGCTACCGTCTGAGTACTGGAAATCAAGTCCAGGTCCTCTGCAATGGCAACAAGTGCTCTTAACCACAAAACCAACTCTTCATCTTTCAGTTTTTCTTATATACCTAAGCACCAATTTCCCAGGGATAACACTGCCCACAGTGGCCTGGGCTTTTCCACAACAGCCATCAGTTGAGAAAAGGTCCACTAGACATGCCCACGGGCCAGTCTTATTGAGGCAGTTCCTCAGCTGAGGCTCATTCCAAGTTCACTTCATTTTGTGTCCTGTTGACAAAATGACAGAACCCCAACCAGCACAGATATTCTTATATGGAAACATCCCTACACTTAGTTGACTATCTCAAAAAGTTTATGAAGTAGGTAGGTGTAAGAAAAATGTTACCACTCTCATTTTTATAGATTACCAAAGGGAGGCATAGTCACATGGAAGGTTAAAGAGCCAGTTAACTACAAAGCTAGGATTTGACTCTGGTTCCTGGCCTGGTTTTTTAAATTCTTTAGCTCTGACATGGTTTTATAATCCCATATCTATATGTCAAGCTAGTCCGTAGTGATTAGCAATATTAGAATTCTAATATGTTCTGTAGCCAGAAAAAGGGGAGTCGTTATTTACCTTGTTCATTATCTTCCTTTTACACTTAATTGGATGTCAGAGAACAAGTTGGCATGAGTTGTTTCTCTCCTTCCATCACATGTGTCCCAGGGATTGAACTCAGATCTTTGGGCTTGATGGCAGTGCCTTTACCCATTAAGCCTTCTTGCCAGCCCACCATGTTCTTCCTTTTGTTTCCCCGTTCATTTCTTCTAGGACTCATGACTTATGAGGTGATATTTGAGTAGGTGGTTGGGATAGCAAACGTGGAGAAAAATGAAAAGATTTTGAAAGGTTATTTTCTGTGCATGATGGGGCAGAAGCTTAGTTTAGCTTCTTGTTTATAAGAATAACTCACACTTCCTTTGGAAAACTATTAGAGGCTCAAACTAGAGAAAGTGCCAGTTCTATTGTATGAGATTTGTCAAAAGCTGAGAAGCCAAGCAGTGCTTCAGCTGAGATGTGAAAATAGCCTGTTGTTGTTGATTGTGCCCTGCAGAACATTGCTTTATGCTAAGTGTTATTTATAATAGGACTTGAGAAATGTGTCTTCTTGTCTGACTGCTTCAGGCCTGATTCCTGTAGCTATTGGCAAGAGAATTTGTCAGGGATGAGTCTGCTTGCCTCACGATCTCACGATTTCATGTTCTGGGCAGGAGGAGCTGTGTGCTCAGAAGGTGACCTTGAAGGATTTTTTCACTCAAGGCCCTGGAGCAGTCTGTGAATTGACCTCACTCTATTTCCAGGAAAGGTAAGCCCGGGGCAGCCAGACAGGAAGTAGGAGGCTGCAGGCTTGCTGTAGCCTGGCTTTGTGCTTAGCTGATGGTACTAAGCTACTTTGTACTTTGTACTTAGCTACTCAGAGTGGAGGCCCACAGGCTAGTGAGACCTGGCTTTCATACATCAGCCACATCTGGAAACCCAGGCTAGAATAGAAAAGTGAAGTGTGGGTATCATAGCCTTGACCTTCTCAAAATCAAAACAAAAAGAATGTAAAATGAGAGTGTACATACTTATCTCCATCCTTCAAGAAGGGAACTCATACAGAAGTCTCAGAGATGTGTTGAGCAAGCTGTGTCTTCTAGCTGAGAGGCTTGGGGTGCCCCTTCTAGCCAAGCAGTACGAGGTAGAAGGTTCTGTCATTCTAAAATGCTGTCTTTCTTTATTCTTTCCTAGCACCATGACCCGTTGCAGCCATCAGCAATCCCCCTACCAGCTGCTGTTTGGGGAACCCCACATCTTTGAAGATCTTCTGGGTTTGAAGATCCGCATCTCACCGGATGCCTTCTTCCAGATTAATACTGCTGGTGCAGAATTGCTCTATCAGACCATTGGGGAGCTAAGTGGAGTGAACTCCAATTCCATCCTCCTTGACATTTGCTGTGGAACAGGCAAGTGGCTGCCCTAGGAAGAGTCTGTGTGTTGTCCTTCCATCTACCCAGAGCCTATGGCCTTTTCAAGGGTGTCAGGGGGTGGATAGTATTGATGGTCTGAATATAACCATGAAGTTTAAAACACAAAAATAATTCCCTCTTATTTATTACTTCTTCAGGTGTGATTGGCCTTTCTCTGGCTCAGTGTGCATCCCAGGTCCTTGGTGTCGAGCTGGTGGAGCAGGCAGTAGATGATGCCAGGTGGACTGCAGCCTTTAATGGTACCTAGATCAATAATGGGGAGAAACGAGGGGAATGTAGCTGAGGGGCTGTGGATGTAGCTCAATGGCAGACTGCTTACCCAGCTAGCATGTTTGAAACCCAGGGGTCCATTACCAGCACAGCAAAATCAAACAAACAGAAATGCACTCGTTTCTATGCAAAGGGAGACATACTGTATCCCCAGCTTATAGGGAAGCAGAGTTCTAAATAGAGTAGCCACACTTGGATCTTGATGTTTTCTGTTAGAGGTCTTAATAACTATTTCATTTTTCATTCTGTAAAGATCCCAAGGGAAGTACAAGCCTAGTTGGTAGGAAGGGAAATGGTAAAATGTTAAACATAATAGAAGAACATGTTTTACTTTAGACTCAGCATCAGAACCTAATACAGTAGGTTTCAAACTTAGAATTTTGGCCTGGCATTGGGGTGAGCACCTTTAATTCCAGCACTCAGGAGGCAGAGGCAGAGGCAGGTAGATTTCAGTGTGTTCAAGGCCAACATGGTCTCTATATAGTTGGTCCAAAGCCAGCCTACATGGTGAGGCCCTGTCTTAAACAAAACAAGATAAACAAACCTACAGTTTTTAAATAGAACCTTTTGTTTAAATAAAACGACAAATTGCAACATGAAAAACAGTTTGTCTTGTTTTTCTGTGCAGCCCAGGCTGGCCTTGAATGTCTTATCTCTTTCTTTGCCTCCCAAGTGCTGAGATTGCAAATGTGTGCCTACATGCCCAACTTCTAGACAGTTCTTGAGGCACCATGTGAAAACTTCTGATGGGACAGGAAGAACCCTCGAGTGCAAGTCAAGGTCTTTGATGTGGTCTAGGTACTTACATGCTGCACTTTCTAGTCACTTGAGATGGGAGGCTCATTCAGACTTTCCAAGGGAAAGTACTTAACATCAGATCCAAGAGTGGCTCTTTCTTTGCCACTCAGAGGTACACTGGAGTCAAAGGGAATGTCAGGACTCTGGCTGCTATATAGTTCTAGAAAACCGAGGCTTCCCATTTGTTGGGCTCAAATTATGTCACACAATCCTCTCCTCCACAGGTGTCACCAACTGTGAGTTTCATGCTGGTAGAGCAGAGAAGATTTTGCCACAGCTGTTAAGGTCGCAGAAAGATGAGAAGTTAATTGTTGCTGTGGTGAATCCGGCCCGTGCTGGACTGCGTAAGGAGGGAGGGGCAATTTGGGTGTCCCCCCTGATGTCCACCAGTTCTGCATCTTTATTCCCATACCAGGCTAAGGGGCTCCCTATAAGGTAGCCCTGAAGCAGCTTCTCCTCCATTCCTTAGTGCTGCTTAATGTGAATTTTGGAATATTGGACTTCGATGGGTTAAGTGTATTAACAAGGTGTTTACTCCTTCAGATCATCAAGTGGTGCAGGCCATTCGGAACTGCGGGGCCATCCGCACTCTAGTTTTTGTTTCCTGCAAGCCCCATGGTGAAAGCATGCGGAACTTCATTGAGTGAGTCTTGGACTTTTTTTCAATACTAGTTTTCCACGAGCTGAGGATATGGCTCCCCCTGGGTTTGATCTTCAGCACCACATAAAACTGAGCAGGCTGGTAGAGGCAGGAGGATTAGAAATTTAAGATCATCCTTGGCTATGTAGTAAGATTGAAGCCATTGTGGGATAAGCAAGACCCAGTCTCATTAAAAAAGCAAAAACCAAAATTATTTTTTTCTAAAAATCAGAGCAATCTATGCTTTCTATGTACAATTTGGAAAAAGTATAGAAACATGAAGAAAAAAGAAAAGAATTTCTATCAGTTTATTTTTTTAATATTTTTTTGAGACAGGGTCCCAACTATGTAGCTCTAGTGTCTTATAACTCATTCTGTAGACCAGGCTGGCCTTGAACTCACAGAGATCTGCCTGCCTCTACCTCCTGTTTGCTGGGATTAAAGGTGTGCACATTATACTTGGCTTAATATACCACTTTAAAGATGTTTTCTTTTATTTAAATAAAATTATGTATATGAACCTGAATAATTTTATGTGCACTACATAATTCACACAAGCCCATGCAAGCCAGAAGAGGGTTTCAGATCCCCTGGAACTGGAGTTTCAGGCACTTGTGAGCCAAACTTGGCTCCTTTGTGAGAACAATTAGTGCTCTTTACTGAGCCATTTCTCCAGTCCCTGACTGTATCACTTTTAAGAATTAGTTTTAGGACCTTGTCTAGGGAGAGACAAATCAGGTACTCTGAGTACAAAATTTAAAGAGGGTACCAAGGATTTTAATGATCAAGATACAATTTTAATATATTAGAAAATCAATCTTCTCCAATCATGAAGGACAAAATTTATTTTAAAAAATTCAATGCCAGGTGTGGTGACCTGAGCTTGTAATCCCATCACTAGGGGAGTGAAAACTGGTGAGTCCTTAGGGCTTGCTGAACAACTACTCTAGCCCAATCAGTGAGCTCCTGACCAATGAAAGACCTTATCTCAAAGGAGGTAGACAGTGTTCCTAAAGGTGACACTTGAAGTTGCCTTCTGGTTTTGATGCACGCACGTGCATACACACACACTCGTGTACACATACACACACACACACACACACACACACACACACACACACACAAATAAGGTACTGGATTTAATTCCCAACTGAAAAACATGTTGAAAAGGTGGCATCTGATTAACTTTTTAAAAAGATTTTGCTGAGAGATCATATGTGGTATTTGTCTCTTTGGCTTATTTTATTTACCAGATTTTCTCTATCCATTCATCTATTGATAGAAATCTTGTCTGGTTGTTGGGAATAGTGTAGCAAGAAATGTTAATGTAGGTATTTCATTGATAGGCTGATTTAATTCCCTTTGGGCTGTTCCAACAAGTGGTACATATGGGTCATATGGTAGATTTATTTTTAGTTTTTTGAGGAATCTTGATATTATTCCATTAATTTTCTTTTTTTCTTTAAATAAGAAACATGATTGTTTTACACGTCAATCCCAGCTCCCTCTCCCTCCCCTCCTCCCCTGCCCCCCACTAACACCCTACCTATCCAATACCATTTCTGCTCCCCAGGGAGAGTGAGGCCTTCCATGGGGGGGGCCTTCAGAGTCTGTCATATCCTTTGGGATAGAACCTAGGCCCTCCCCTGTGTGTCTAGGCTGAGGGAGTATCCCTCTATGTGAAATGGGATCCCAAAGTCCATTCCTATGCTAGGGATAAGTACTGATCTACTACAAGAGGCCCCATAGATTTCCGAGGCCTCCTCACTGACAGCCACATTTATGGGGTCTGGATCACTTCCATGCTGGTTCCTCAGCGATAAGTCTGAGTACCAAGACCTCCCACTTTCTGTGGGTTTACCATTGTGGTCTTGACCCCTTTGCTCATCACTCCTCCTCTGCAGCTGGATTTCAGTTCAGTTTAGTGTTTAGCTGTGGGTGTCTGCTTCTACTTCCATCAGCTGCTGGATGAAGGCTCTGGGATGGTATATAAATTAGTCGTCAGTCTCGTTATCAGGGGAGGGCATTTGAGGTAGCCTCTCCACTGTTGCTTAGATGGTTAGTTGGTATCATCCTTGTAGATTTCTGGACATTTCCCTAGTGTCTGATTTCGCTTTAAACTTATACTGGTTCCCTCTTTGATGGTATCTCTTATTCTGCTCTCTATTCTTTTCCCTACACAAACTTCCTGCTCCTTTGTGTCCTCCTCACCCCTCCTCTTCTCCCCTTTTCATTCTCCTAGCTCCCTCTCCCCTCCCCCATGCTCCCAATTTGCTCAGGAGATCTTGTCCCTTTCCCCTTTTCCGGGGGACCATGTATGTCTCTTTTAGAGTCTTACTTGTTGCCTTGCTTCTCTAGTGGTGTGGATTGTAGGCTGGTAATCCTTTGCTCTATGTCTAAAATCCATTTTTGAGTGAGTGCATACCATGCTTGTCTTTTTGTGACTGGGTTGCCTCGCTCAGAATGGTTTCTTCTTGTTCCATCCATTTGCCTGCGAATTTCAAGATTCCATTGTTTTTTTTTCTGCTGAGTAGTACTCCATTGTATAAATGTACCACATTTTCTCTATCCATTCTTCAGTTGAGGGGCATCTAGGTTGTTTCCAGGTTTTGGCTATTACAAATAATGCTGCTATGAACATAGTTGAACAGATGTCCTTGTTGTATGAATGTGCTTCTTTTGGGTATATGCCTAAATATTCCATTCATTTTCATCCCTACCAATGTTTAAACGTGCTATTTTCTCTTTTCCTTGTCAGTGTGTTATTTTGTACATTTTTGTCGTGTTCTGGTTTTTAGTTAAATTTTAATTACTTTATCAATGTATGTGGGGAGGCATAGAGTTATGTCTGCCTAAGGTTCTGTGTAGAAGTCAGAAGACAACTTTTGGGACTTGGTTTTGTCCTTCTTTCCACCTCAGGTGCTAGAGATCAAACTGAAGTCCTGAGGCTTGTGCTTTCACCTGCTGAGCCATCTTGCCCGCCTGTGTATATTTGTTATGAGACAAGGATTCATGTAGCCAAGGCTGGCCCTGAACTCTCAATTCTCCTGCCTCTACCTCGAGAGTCATAGGATTATAAGTGTGTATCACTATGCCCAGCTGTTTTCTTTAAAAATATTTTATAGTTATTTAGTGTGTGTGTGTGGGTGTGTGTGTGTGTGTGTGTGTGTGTGTGTGTGTGTGTGTACACCTCAGTGTATATGTGGAGGTCAGAGGACTTAGGTTGTCAGGGTTGGTGGCAAGTGCATTTACCCATGGAGCCATCTTGCCAGTCCGTAACTCCTTTTCCTTTTTTAACCTTAACTATTCTTACAGGGAAGAGACAATACTTTCTTGTGTCGTTTTAAAATTTTAAATTAGGTTTTCTTATTCCTGGTCAAAGTGTGGAGAGCAAGTGTTTAGAATGCTTTGCCACAGAAAGGACATCTCCAACACCCCACCAAGGCTTAGGGACCATTCATTGCAAAAGAGGGACATGATAAGAGCCAGAGTTCAGGGAGGAACTGTAAGAAACAGTATATTCTCCATGTGACAAGACCACTGCACTCAAGAACTCACAACATCTGTGGTGGCCTGCACAAGATTAAACCAGCCAGCATTCTAGCATGGAAGGGGAAGGGGGTCATGAACGCTATTGATAGCTGTTAGTAGAAGCAGAATACATTTTCTTTGGGCGTATGGTCCCTGGTAGGTTGATCGTGCTCTAGTGGATGGTCCCACGTGTAAATGGGCAGCACAAATCAAACTTGATGGGTTATTCCAAAAAAGACATGAAGTTGGGAGGGGCCCGGAGATAGGAAGGCGATATGGGAGGATTTATGGGGAGGAACATGGAGGCTGAATATGAATATAATACATTGCATGTGTGTATGAACTTCTCAGAGAATTAATATAAATTATATATATTTTTTAAAAAGAATTAAAAAAGCCAGGTGTTTGTGGTACCTGTTTGTAATGCCAGCTTTTAGGCGAAGACAGGAAGATCATGGGTTTAATATTAGCCTAGACCACATAATGAGATCCTGTCTCAAAAATTAATATTAAAAGAAAAAAAGACACAGCCAGGTGTTGCGTTTCAGGCATTTAAACCAGGCACTCGGGAGGGCAGAGGCAAGCAAATCTCTCTTGAGTTTTTGGCCAATCTGGTTTACATAGTGAGTTCGAGACCAGGCAGGAATATGTAAATAAACCCAGTCAAGAACATAAAAGGGTAAAATCACAAAACTATAGTCATAAATAATAAAGCGGAATAACTACAGACTTGAAGGATTTGTTTTGCCTTATGCTTGAAGACAAGGTATCACTATGTAGTCCTGACTGGCTAGGAACTCAATACATAGACCAGGCTGGCCTTGATCTTATGGCCAATCTGGGCTACACATTTTTTTTTAAATGTCAGTGGTGGTGGTATAGGTCTTTAATATCAGCACTCGGGAAGCAGAGACAGGCAGGTATCTGTGAGTTTGAGGCTAGCTTGGTCTACAGAGTGAGTTCCAGGACAGCCAGACTGTTTCATGGAGAAACCCTGTCTCAAAAAGCCAAAAAGAATATTTTTTTTTACATTTACTTTTTAGGGGGAAAGGTTGTGGGAGTTCTCTCCTTCCACCTTGTCATCAGGGTTTGCAGCAAGCACCTTTACCAGCTGAGCCATTTCAGCAGCCCTGGTTTATTGTTCCTTGGTTTATTTCATTGTGACACTTTCATACATGTATCGTATGCTATGTTCTTATGCACCTCTTTGCTCTTTTTTATTTCATTTTGGCCCTTTCCTTCCCCCCCACACTGTCCCCATTCTGTCTTACCCCTTCCCACACACATACACAGAGACATACACACAGATACACAGACACAAAATCATGTGCTATGTGTCTTTCTGCCTCTGGCTTATTTCACTTAACAATGATCGCAGTTGCATCCATTTCCTTGTGAGTGTCGCAATTTTATTAGTGTGTAGAGGTGAATAACATTCCATTTGTATAAGTACCACACTCATATGTGCATAT